CCCGACTTAAAACCACACGTACGTTGACACACATGCCAACTTAGTGGTATATGCTCACTGCACCTGCGCGGGCTTCCCGGGTGCCCCCCTTACTGCCGTGATCTCTCGGCGATGCCGGTCCGTCTCGGGGTGTCTCTCCCGCCTTCCGGGTCGTTCCCGACGCTGTGCCGGGCTACTCCTTCAACCACGCGCAGGAAGGGGGCGAGGGCAAGGCAGCCCCACAGGGCCCCTGGGCGGCCCCAAGCGAGCTCCGAAGTGGCCCCAGAGAGCCTCCGGATGGACCCAAGACCGCGTCAGAGAGCCCCTCGACGGCACAAGGCGGCCCCCACGACGGGCTCAGGAGACCCCCGAGCGAACCCAGAGGACTTCTCAGAGGGGAGGGGGGAGGGCTTCTCAGAAGCACCCCTGCTTCTTAGAGGGCGCGGGCTTTTTCCTGCAGATGCAAGGCTGGCGCCTTCCAAGAAGCAGCCTGCTTCTAAGACGCCCTCCCCCCTCCCTCCACCCCCCCTGTGCGCGCCGCCAAACTCTTCACCACTGTGCCATCGAATGTGTCCGCCACCGTTTCGGTTGAGCCGCAAGTGTGGTCCAGCTGGAAGGCGTCGGTGCAGTAGGTGTGGGGCAAGTGGATCGCAAATGTACTCCGACGGGGAATTATCTTGCATTGCAGTGCAGCTAATGTATTGAACGCGAAAGTCAAGCAATACAGTTGCTCACTGGAATGTTTTGCACGTGCCAAATCTAATGCAACCCTACAACTGTATTGTACCAAGTCTGCTGCACCACCCTCTTTTCGCTGGAACCCCTTCTGGGTCAATCCAAAACCGTGCCCCCCTGGTACGTTTATGCTGCCCGATGGAGATTCCGTAATATTCTAAAGCACCCCCCGCTTCTCGAACTAGATGCATGCACCGTCCCCCCTCCCCGAGACCGCAACCACGTCGTGAGGAAACTATGGATCCGCGCTGCCGAACTTCCAAGACGGCTAAGGCAGGCCATCAAGACTGCCAAGATGGCCTAAGATGCCTCGAAGACGGCCCAAGGTGGCCCCAAGACGGCAGAAACATGGCGCAAGTGACCCCCAAGCGGCCCAAGAGGACGACCATAAGATCCCAAGCAAGACCCAAAGAGGCCAAACTCACGTATGATTATAATATGAACCGAAAACATTCGCGAAATCTTCATATCGGACTGTCTTCGGCTCCAACCGGTCGTGGATGCCTCCAAGGTGGCCCCAAGACGGCCCAAGAGGGCCAAAGCATTGCCAAATGATCTCCCGAGAGGGGCTCAAGACAGCCCAACAGGGCCACTGGACGGCCCCAAGCGAGCTCCGAAGTGGCCCAAGAGAGCCTCCAGATGGACCCAAGACCGCGTCAGAGAGCCCCTCGACGGCACAAGGCGGCCCCCACGACGGGCTCAGGAGGCCCCCGAGCGACCCCGGAGGACCCCAAAACGGCCAATGAGAGCTCCAGGATGCAAGACGGCATCAGAGGGCCCCCAGACGGTGCAAATAGGCACAAGGGACCTCCCAAGACTGCCCCATTGCTGATCATGCCGATAACGATGACGGTGTTCACGCGTTGGTGATGAAGGTTTCGGAAGGTTGAGCAGGGACCGACCGTCCCGGCATTCCCAAACTCATACCACGAAATGTTCTTCGAACCCAAAAATGTTCTAAGAACAAAGACAATGGTCTTAGAACATAAGCCCGATGTGATAAAACGAGAAAGGCCCAGCCGGAAATGTTCTAAGAACATTTCGTGGAAACCACAAAAGGTTCTTAGAACATTGTTTGGTGGGGCTATAGGCGAGCCAAGACGCTTCGCTACTGCTTGTGAAGATCTTCGACCTGCGCGCCGGCCGACGGGCGTCCCACTGGGAATCACTACTGGCTGCAAACCATTATCTGACAGGGGTCGTGCCCCCACAGCATGCGCACAGAGGCGTTGGAAGAATTTCGACATGCGCGCGCGAAGGGCACTCTCGAGGTGCATTTGACAGTGTTGAATACAACTATGCTTTAAAAAAAAAATTCGCAACACCGCGCGCGCAGTCAATGTTTTGAACTAAGATGGCAAAATCATGTGGTTTCAAATGTGTTTGGGACACTCGATTTTGATACCCTTTCGAATCCTGGTGTCTTTGAAGAATTTCGGCATTCGGGCGCGACGACGCCCACGTCACTTCGTCCCATCTTTTGCAAGGTGGTTCTTGAATGGGAAATTGTTGATGAACAAATGTGCGCGCAACATTATTTTTGCGGGGGGGGGGGTGAGGGGGGTCGAACCTGGCCTGGCAGGGATAATATGAATTCATGTTTCGAATGAAAGATGAAGCAGAATCATATGTGAATTGTAAATCCGAAAGCCGGGGGGATAACCCTGGGGGGGGGATCGAAATTCATCTTCAGGAAAGGGAATTCTGAACGGCTGGCGACGGGATGGGCGGCGCCGAGACGGCGACAGGGCGGCGACGGCGGCCACATAGCCGCCAGACCAAAGGCCACGGCCCAGACGACGGGCGGCGACGAGGCGGCAACGGGGGGGCGCCGGCGACCACATAGCCGCCAGACCGAAGACGCGGCCAAAATCCGGAGAACACAAGTAAGAAACCCAAAGTGCAAGCACTATATGGGATACATGTATAGATAACACACATATATATAGATACACACGTACGTCTAAGAATCCGACATGGAGTCCCGAGGCTGAGAGGCCTCCCGCGGCATGCCCACAAACATTCGCCGTTGGCCCATAACTCAGGCGCGGTGGCTGGGTGGGCCGAAGGCCATCAGACAGATGCGTTTGTGCCGCGTTCAAATATGATGCTGGAAGCAATGTGCGGGCGACGTGGAAAACGATATGATTATGCTCACGGAGTTCCCCACATAAGGATGTTACGGGGTTGGCGGGATCACGAAGGCAGCATCGCCAGCAGCATCATCATCAGCCGCGCTATCGTCAACATAGCCATGCTCACTATCATTGAAACATCATGGCCATTATCATCAGCATGATCCGCATGATCATCATAATGGTTGTGGTCGTCATCATCATTGTCTTCATCACCGTCCTCATCATCATCAGCATTATCAGCATCATCATCATGATCAGCATCAGCATCATCATCATCATCATCATCAGCATCATCATCCTCATCATCATCAGCATCATCATCAGCAGCAACGTCATCAGCATCATCAGCATCCTCATCATCATCAGCATCATCAGCATCCTCATCAGCATCATCATCAGCATCATCATCAGCATCATCATCCTCAGCATCATCATCAGCAGCATCATCACTGTCGTCGTCATCTTCATCATGATCATGTCCACCATCATCACCATCAACCCTCCTCATCGCCGAACTCCCCCTCCTCCTCGCTCAGGCGGGGCCTCTCTGGAGGAGTTGGAAGGGGCACCACACCTGGTAAGCAGTATGGTTTTGGGAGACCCTCCTCCTCGCTCAGGCGGGGCCTCCCTGGAGGAGTGGGAGGGGCACGAAACCTTGTGAATAGGATGGTTTGAGGATACCCTCCTCGCTCAGGCGGGGCCTGCCTGGAGGGGTGGGAGGGGCACGAAACCTTGTAAATAGTATGGTTTGGGGGTACCCTCCTCGCTCAGGCGGGGCCTCCCTGGGGGGCTGGGAGGGGCACCAAACCTTGTAAATATGATGGTTTGGGGATGCTCTCCTCGCTGGGGCGGGACCTCTGGAGGGCTTGGAGGGGCACGAAACCTTGTAAATAGTATGGTTTGGGGCCCTCCTTGCTCAAGCGGGGCCTCCCTGGAGGGGTGGGGAGGGGCACGACACCTCGTAAATAGTATGGTGTTGGGATGCTCGCTCAAGCGGTGCCTCCCTGGAGGGTGGGAAGGGGCACAAAACCTTGTAAATAGTATGGTGTTGGGATATCCTCCTCGCTCAGGCGGGGCCTGCATGGAGGGGTGGGAGGGGCACGATAAATAGTATGTTTTGGGGATGCCCTCCTCGCTCAAGCGGGGCCTCCCTGGAGGGGTGGGAGGGGGCACGAAACCTTGCACATAGTATGGTGTTGGGATACCCTCCTCGCTCAGACGGGACCTCTCTGGAGGGCTGGGAGGGGCACCAAGCCTTGTAAATATGATGGTTTGAGGATGTCCTCCTCGCTGGGGCGAGACCTCTCTGGAGGGCTTGAAGGGGCACGAAACCTTGTAAATATTATGGTGTTGGGATGCCCTCCGCGCTCAGGCGGGGCCTCCCTGGAGGGGTGGGAGGGGCACGACACGTTGTAAACAGTATGGTTTGGTGGTACCCTCCTCGCTCGGGCGGGGCCTCCCTGGAGGGGTGGGAGGGGCACGAAACATGATAGTAGTGTGCTTTGCGAATGCGGTAGGTATGGTATGGCAAGTATGGTATAGTATAGTACGTGTGGTATGGTAGGGGATGCCAGGTACTACGATAGGAATGGTATGGAAGGTATGGTATAGTACGTATGGTATGGTATGGTCTAATACGTGGTAGTATAGTACGTATGGTATTGGTAGGGTATGGCAGGTATGGTATGGTATAGGTGAAGGAAGCGAAGAAGGAGGAGAAGGAGAAGGAGAAGGAGAGGGTGGTCTAGAAAAACAATAAACTCACTCAAGATGTGGGGAAAAGAAGGAGAGGAGAAGCGGTACGCACAGCAAGGCTGTGGAAGGCCTGCGGAACAAGTCCCAAGGCCTACATGACCTGGTCTAGGTTTCGCTTCAATACCCCCCAAAAAGGAAATCCTTCCTTCTCAACGAGTTCTGCACCGATCCCCAAAATACAAATATAATGTGAGAAGACAAGGTAAGGATAGCTCGGTGATCTTGGAGCGTCGATAGGTCCGCATGACGTATCGGGCGCCATGCCCATTCCAGAACGCTCTAGAACGCTCACTACAGATGTTTCCTGATCATGAGCCAGCTTGGTTTCTCCTCCTCTCCGGTCGAGAACTTCTAACCTCCCTCATCCCCCGTTGCGTGCAAGGGAAGCCCGGCCTATCCCACTCCAACACTTCGACGAGGTCGCCCGCGCTCAGCGCGACAGTTCCCTGCGCCAATCCACATGGTGAGGCCAGACACCCGCTCATCCATCAGAACACATGCTCTCTCAGGAGTGCTGAATGAATTGCCTGACCCGTGCTTCACATGTTTCGACAATCGATACGTGCTGTACAGTCTGCGTCTGCTCGCGTGTTCGTGTGACTCGGACAAGGGTTGGCTCCACGATGACTCATTTCACGACACGGAAGCCTGACACAGTATTGTCAAGAAAATGGAAGAGATTGCCGACAGCTGTCGTAAGCGTAACCCTTGCTTCGGCCCCACCGAATCGCATGTGCCCATCAATTTACATCACAAAACAAAAGCACGCCGCCCAAAAAGGAAACTCCCCGCCTCGATCACAACTTAGGGAGAAGAAAATAAGTGTTCGCACGACCTGCGAATCGATCAGCCCCCAAGAGCTTCTCTGCCGCGTTGATTTTGAACGGATCACATCGGTAGCCCTAGATGCAACCATTCCAAGCAAATGCCTCAAAATAACACGCAATCGCTGCTTCGTAGGCTTGCGAAACTGGAGATACTGGTTTGTGGTAACCCGCACGGCTTGCAGTACTTGGACCTCCCCTGCCAGAACCCCCCCTCCTTTTTGTTCCGCCCCTCGTACGCTACCCCCCCCTCCCCCCTTTCGCGCTCCAAAAGCTTCCCCCTCTTTTCTTTTCTTTATATATAAATATACCCATATATGTATATATGTGTGTATATAGATATATCGGGTGTTGCTAGACGTGTACCCTGGCCCAAAATGCCCCCAGGATATCCATGAAGGCCACTGGGGCCTCCGGGAAAGGAGCACGGAACTCCAAGCTGCAGCGGATATGGACCCCAAAGGCCCAAAGGCTGAGTATGCCTGGGGGGCCAGGTCTAGAGGGTCGGGGCGCAAGGCGCTCGGGAGACGTGCCAACACATCCAAAGTGGGACCGTGCTGCAGTGTCTGTTGGGATTGACTGGCGGCCGCCATATGGGCGACGCGCCGACACCTCCAACGTTGCACCGACGACCAAAGAATAAAGGTGCCCGGTTCCTGCGCGCAGCTCTATTCGGGGATGGACAGACCCTCCTTTAGTAAAACGCGGGTTAGTGAAAACGACCTGAGGCCCAAACCTGGCGGGCGCGAGCATGGAAAATAACGGCCACGGCGCCCTCTCGAGAACTGAAAACGGACAATTCACTAATCGACGTGTCACTGTTGGGGGTTCTGTCCACCCCCGATCTATCGAATGGCAGGGGACCTGGCCCAGGAGCACACTCAACCCAAGGGACGAGGGCTCGCGGGGCGCAGCTGGCCGCCCGCACACGCCGCCGCGCCGCGCGCGCACGCCGCGCACGCCGCGCACGCGGCGCGCCTCGGCGCCCGCGGCGGCGGGCTCGAGGTCGGCGGAGAGGACCTGGCCCGGCGGCGCGCGGAGGAGGGGCCCGGGGCCCCCGAACCGGGTGCACAGAGAGCGAACCTCTTCCGCTAAAAGCTAGGCGGGCTACGCAAAGCTTTAATTAGGGAGACAGGGCACAAGAAGGCGGGGCCTCAGGCGGCCGGAGCGGGCGGAGCCCGGGGTGCAGGCGGTGCCGGAAAGCTTGCACAGGAAAAGGTACGCCGCGGACAGGGACCGGACGAACGGGTGCACAGCTAATCGGGGGTTTGGGCATTTCCACAGGCGGGCTCGAAGTCGCCGGAGAGGACCCGGCCCCGGGGCCCCAAAGACGGGGGCACGGCCAAACAGAGGCTCCTGAGCCCCCGTTCAGCTGTGCCCCCGCTTGCCATGCCTCCGCGTCTGCGGACCCCAGGCCCTGTTCGGCGGGGGCACGGCCAGACAGGGAGATCGGCGCTCTCCGTGCCCCCGTCTGCTGTGACCCCGTCTCCGACGCCCTGAGGGACAGCCTCCTCCCGGTGGCCGGCGCGGCGGGCCCGGGTCTGCGGGAGGGGGGAGCGACCGCGTCCGCCAGCGCCTCGTAGGTGCAGCCGCCCTCCTGATCTCGGGACGGGCGTATCCTCCTCCTCATAATCCCCCCCCTCCTCTTCCCCTCCTCCTCATTCCGCCTCCCCTATCCGCCTCTCCCTGTATGGGCCCTCCTCCCTCTTCCATCCCGTCCATCCCTTCTCCTCCGTCTCCTCCTTATCCTCACTCTCCTCCTTCTCCCTCATTCCCACATCTCCTCCCGCATCATTCCTCATTCATCCCTCGCCCCCCCGCTTCCTCCCAGCTCCAGCGCCTCCACCAGGGAATCCCCCTCCTCTCCAGTGTCATCGCCGCTCCCGGACCCCTTGTCTCAGGAAATAGAGTAGGTGATATCTCGCAGTAGAGGAAGAGGCTGGCAAATACTTGATGTCCCTCAATAGCTCTGGTGGTACCTGTTGTGCGGGGAGGGTACCTGTAGTCCGGGGGAGGGGTATCTGTAGTCTGGGGGGAGGTACCAGTAGTCCGGGGTGGGGTACCTGTAGTCCTGGGGAGGGGTACCTGTAGTCCGGGGGGTACCTGCAGTCTTGGGGGAACGCGTGTTCACGCGTCAGCGCACTCGTGGATGTAGTCCTGTGGGGGTACCTGTAGTCTAGGGGGGGTACCTGTAGTCTGGGGGGGTTACCTGAAGTCTGGGGGGCGGGGGGTACCTGTAGTCGGGGGGGGGAGGGACCCGTAGTTCGGGGAGGGGGTACTGTAGTCCGGGGGTACGCTTAGTCCGGAGCCCAGAACTATTGAGGGACACAGAGAATCAGGTGGCCGCTTCAGCAAAGCGCATTGTTCACTGCCGAGAATGCGCACAACGTCGTCCTCCACCGCTGTCCTCGCCTCGCGGAACCCCGCAGGCGCCACCCGCGGCGCACGCCTCGGCGCGGCCGGGAGGCCTCGTGATAGTTACACAGGCGCGATGTGGGCGAGGCAGCCGACCGACGCTTGAGGCAGGGGGCAGAACAGCCTTACGGCATCCCTGGATGGGGCCTCAAGCCGACGATGCGGCCACAGATGCTCGCGGCCACGCCATCAGGGCGGCCTTTGGCGCTACAGCGTGTGCGTCCGATGTGGCGCTTTCGCGCGTGACGTGCGTGGCAGGTGCAGGTCCCCAGGAGCTGCCTGCCTGGGTCGATGCCTGAAGTGAGCTTCCGCGGTGAAAATCATTACTGTTCTTTGCTGCTGCTGTCGTACTCCTCGCGACCCACCCCGCGTACACCCGCGACCCAACCGCGACCCGTCCCGCGCCAGGTTGCCCTCTCATTCTTGGCCACAGCTGCGGTGTGCCATGCATTCCAGACCTGGCGCCACCCAGGTTCGGATCAGGCCCCGCCCATGACAAAGAGACGGCGGTCTCGGCTGAGTGTCCACAGGATCGCCCCCTGCCTGAAATTCCACTTCAAGCGCGCACGCCCCCCCCCCACCAACAAGCCCGACGGGCCAGCATGCGTGAAAGCAACGATCCGCCCCCCGATCGGGGGGGAGGCGGGAAGGGAACAGGGAATGTTGTTTGCTTGGGACAGCTGGGAAAAGAGGCTTCTGAAAAAACAAAGATTCAGAGCCAGGTGAATACCACGTTGAGCAGGGACCGACCATCCCGGCATTCCTATGACATAGAACTGTTCGAATACCAAAAGCAACGTTCTTAGAACATGAAGCCGATGTCAGAAAAAGAAACAGTCTCAACCACCGATGTTCGATGGCCATTTCTTGCAAGCCATCAGAGTCTCCAAGAAAATTCTCGGGAAGGGCCAAGAGGGGGGCGTCCAGGAGGACACCGCAAATCATGCCCGGCGGCACGTGCGCGGCCCATGCGGCGGGCGGGGACGCCCTGAAAGCAGAAGAGGCGCAAGTAAATCTGGGGCGACATCAGGGCCCCCGCCATGATATCCACCCTCCCCTCGTCATCACACCCCTCTTGCCCGGCCCCGAGTTTTCAGAACACTCTTTGGGACTAGGCTTAGGTTGGGCATGTCCCCCTATAGGCGGATATTGCAAGACAAATGCGACATAGTCAAAACATGAAAATAGTAGACAAAATCGTCCCCTGACTAATCTTCACTGTTTTTGCACACTCCTCCTCTAGAGGAACATGCCCGACTTGAGACTGGGCGAGCTTTGACGCCTCGCGACTGCCCGACCACGGGCCACCAACCACGCCGCGAGGGCCGCGAGGGCCACCCTCGGGCGGCAGCGCCGCCGGGATGCTCGAGGAGCCGGCTGCCTAGACGCGAGGGAGCTTGGGGGAGGGAGCACGGCAGGCAGGGAGCTGGCGACGCGCAGAAGGGTTCGGCTAGACGCAAGAGTGACCCTGGGTAAGAGTGACCTTCGGTGCGCGGCTTTTGGGGGGCCGCGCGGGGGCCGAACACAAGCGCGCAAGACACTACTGCCCCATCGCTCTCGGCGATCGGGGGACCCCATTGGGCCCGCACCATGTCACTCCGGCGAAAGGTCACTCTTACGTGTAGTCGAAGGGTGTAGGGGGAGGGGGGGGAGGCTTCTCAGGAGAAGGCTGCTTCTTGGAAGGCGCCGGCCCTACATCTAGAGGTAGGGCCCACGCCCTCTGAGAAGCAGGGGTGCTCCTAAGAAGCCGTCCCCCCCCTCCCCCCACTCCCTCTATGCGTGGGTAAGAAAGGGAGGAGGAGGAGGAGGAGGAGGAGGAGGAGGAGGAGACACACGCCAGCTTGCGGAAGGCTCGTGTCGCGACGACTTCGGCGTTGGCTTTTGTAAATCGTTCAACCTTAGAAACGATCGGCGAATCTCCGATCACCAGATCGTTCCAGAGTGGCCGTTTCTGGGACACCGGTCCTACCAGTGGGGTCTCCTGCAAACGGCACGATCAGACACCGATCTACTCGGATCCCATCTACTCGGCGATGCGGCGCGATCCTCCGACCCCATCTACTCGGACCCCGTGTGGGATGCCTGGATACTTACCCCTCCAAGGAGTACGTCCCGTGAGCACCCGAGTACGGTCACCAAACGGCGGCACTCCTGAAAGACGCAGCCCACCGCTGGCACAAAGATCGCAAGAGACCCGCAACGTGACGCTCAACAATGCGAGGTTCGATGTGCCGAACTGCCCACGAAGATCAGACGATCGGGAATGGACAAAACCCCTTCAGTAAAACGTGGTTTAGTGAAAACGACCTCGGGCCCAAACCTGGCGGGCGCAAGCCTGGAAAATGACGGCCGCGGCGCCCTCCCGAGAACCGACAATGGACAATTCACTAATCGACGTGTCAGGGTGGGGGTTCTGTCCACCCCCGAGACGACTGCGCGCCCGCACAGCGGCTGTGCGCACAACGTTGTGCGCACAACGTTCTGCGGTTGCGGGGAGTGTAATGACGCACCTCAAAGGAAATTCTGAACTGCCCTGACTAGCAAACAATCACCAAGAAGCGAAGCAATGCAACGGAGCATCAAGCTTGGCATCACACGAGGGCCAAACAGCCACAATGCCTGAACGATGCAGCAAACCCTGCGAACAAAAACGACGCTTGCGAAAGCGAGCTGCTAGAACCTGGTTTCGCCTACTCGGCCTCCCAAACTTCCGCTGCCCTCCACCCCGACCGATTCCATCCTTTGAGCAGGGACCGGCCGTCCCGGCATTCCTATGGTCCTACCACGAAATGTTCTTAGAACCCAAAACTGTTCTAAGGACACTAAGAACATAGACCCGATGTGATAAAACAAGACGGTCCCAGCCAGAAATGTTATAATAACATTTCGTGGGACGGTCAAAAGGTCTTCAGAACATTGTCTGGTAGGGCTACAGGTGAGCCAGGACGCTTCGCCACTGCTTGAATCCTCCGCCCCCCCCCTCGTGCCTCGCCGCCCCTCCCCTCCCTGCGCGCCCCTGCCGAACCCTTGCCCTCTTTGCCACGAGCCCTCCGCGCCACCGTGCCGCTGCCAGCGAGCTCCGGGGGCGGCCCCCTCCTGGAGGAAGGTGCTGCCGCCGTTCCCGAAGACCGTGACCCAACCCTCGACGCCGTCCTTCGCCGCACGGCCTGGCGGGCTGCGCGCTCCAGTTTCCAGTTTCCATTGTTACAGTACTGCTTTCTGCTTCCTACTAAAAAAATTGTTACTGTCCGCGCGAGGGGGGGGGGAGCCGAAAACCACCCTGGTTAGCGTCCCCCGGGAGGGTTCTCAGAATTTCTGGGGGGGCGTGGGACACATAAAAATTCTCCCCCGAAGCCATAATTCCTTGCAAATTACAATGTGTTCGCGCCCCCGAGGCCACGATCCGTTGTAGATTACACCACATTCGCGTCTCAGACGTCTCCGAGGCCACGATCCCTTGTAATTTACACTACATTTGCGTCTCCGAGGCCACGATCCCTCGTAAAATACTTCACGTTCGCGCCCTCGAGGCCACGATCCCTAGTAATGTACGCCACATTCGCGCCCCTGACGCCACGATCCTTCGTAAATTACGCAGCGGGCGCGCCCCGGAGGCCACGAATCCGCCTGGCGGAGGCTGCCGAAAAGGCGCTCGGCCTGCCAAACTATTTTCTGTTGTGGCGGCCTCGCAAAAGGATGGTGCTTTGCACCGGTCTTGCACAAGGATTTGCTTGTCAGGAAAGTGGAAGGAAGCCAGGAGGAACACATTACAACAGCTTTCTACGCCAATCATTACACATCCATGGAAACAGAAAAAACAAAACCTTTCGTGTGTTCGACCATTTGGGCGTGGGTGACTGAGAAGCACTATGGAGCCACAACTTGTTCATCACTCGGAACACGAAAACGCTGTAGTTTGCAATGTGTTGCGTCTCGGACGGTGGAACACGAATAGAAGCCGCACTGTTCCCAGCACTCGGAACTCTAAGACGTTGCGGTCTCTATTGTTCTTTCTCCAACAATCGACGCCAACGATTTGGAGCTCCGAGTGTTGAAAGCGTAGTGTGTCACAATTCCGCCTCCCCCCCCTCGTCTACCTTTCAATATTGCTTCTGACTTCTTGTGTTATGTATCCCCACGGCTTCCTCGGACACTCATCACAACATCTTTGCGTAAAGGTGCCAAAGGCAGACATCCTGTTGCAAGACTGCAACCCCCGGCTACACGCCACGAAGGGAATATGATTAAAAGGCCGGCACAAGAGAAAAACAATGTGCAATCCGCCACATAGATTAACAGTGTGTGACCCGCGTGGAAAAAAACATGCCCAACCTAACACAAGAGAAATCCATGCGTAAGCCTTCCATGCAAACTTTCCGCTCGCAACCAGCCACAATGAGAATCAGCTTGCAACTTAGTGCCACATTACTTCGTGTGTAAGGCCACTGCAAAAAAAACAATGTGTAACCCACCGCGACAGGGTTCCCAACTGTGATCCGCTGAAAAACAAGTTTTGTGCGTAACGCGCCACAGACGAAATCATGTTGTAATCCGCATTGGGGTAACATTGTGACCCGAAACAGGAAAACACCTTTCAAGCCTCGACAAAAATGTGACCCGTCACAAACAGCATTCACTTTTAGACCGGCCACAGACGAATCAATCTTCTTTTCTGCCACCAAAAGGAACAATTCCCAACCCGAGTAATCCGCCGTAAGAGTAGACAAGTTGCATCCCGCGAGTGAAACACACAACTTGAAGTTCGCCGCTAAAAAACAACGTGATTCACCACGCAAGAGAGCCTTCCATACCCAGCGACAGATTGCGTCAGCGTGTAAGGCCGCCACAAAGAGAATCAATGTGCGGCCCGCCAGAAGAGGAATGTCTGTATATCCAGCGAGGAGGACAAACTAAAACACGAATGACTAATGCGCTACGGGGGGGAGGAAGTGTGCTGGAGAGGTCCCAGATTTGTGGGGGACAGGAACAGAAATTAAGCATCGCAACCCGCCGCAAAGAGGCGTGGGCCACCGTTTGCTTTCTTATACGATTTGAAGATAGGGAAAAACAAGGCGCGAGGCCGCCGCAAAAAGGAAATCGACCGTCAGGCTACCGCAAAAGAGAATCTCTGCTACCCACTTCAATTGGAAAAAATTCTCAATCCAACGAAAACAACACATAAAATCGCAACGCCGCCATGACACACAATCTACATGAGGACCAACACAACAAACATAATATATGTGCGAGGCCGCCACAAAAAGAAATCCATGTGCAGGCCGCCACACAAAGAGTCAGTTTGCAACCCGCCACAAATATATATATATATATATATATGTGTATGCAACCAAGCGCAACAACAGTGAGTACGCAACGCCGCTATCAAGGGCGGCCTCAAAATAGCGCTCCGACTCCCTTGCACCTGCTTAAACTAGAAAGTGATTATGGCCACTACACTGCCTTGTCCACACTGCGAAAGCATCCTCGCGATTTGCATGTGGATTGGCGAGTTGTTCACGTCGGCGTGCTGCACTTCTGTTACGCATGCTACTCCATCGCAGAGATGAAAAAGAAAAACGAACGCTGGTAGCGAAATTCAATGGCGAAACTGCAGTTCCCCCCGCACTTGGATAGGACTCCCCCCCAAAATCCCCCGTCACGCACGATTTCGCCAGGGGATCTAGAATACCTCCGTACACGGCCCAACGAGAAGATAATAACAGGAAACGCACGCAGACGTCGAGCCGCAACAAGATAACCACGCAGAAGCGGTTAGGGGGGCTGGGAGGGTGCTCGGGAGTCGAACAGACGCGTTGTTGCATGGCTTGCATTCCCCAGCAGGAGCTTGAGGGCCCCCCCTTCTCTCATCGTGGAACGGCCGAACTGCGAGAAGAGTTGGACTCGGGAGGTGGGGGAGGAGGGAGGAGGAAGGCGGAAGGGGGGGCAAAAGGAACAGAGAATGAACAGGGGGATGGAGAAGGGAGGGAAGCGGGAAGGGAAAGCCGACGCGCGAACGTCTTCGAAAGCCTGAGGTCAGAGGTCCAACTGCAGCCTGCTCCATGCACGCTCGCAGAAGCAATGCGCATGGCCTTTCACCCGCGTGATGCCTACCTCGTCGTCCCTGACAGGACCTCCCATCTCGCCAGCAGGACAGATACAGGGATTAGACGAGATGACAGAGTGCGTGATCCACCGCCGCTTTACTGTGGGAAATTGCCGCCCTTTTCCTCCGGAGCCCAGGGGTTCCCCCCCCTCCCGAAAATCCCCCCCCCTGCTGGAACCCCTCCCCCCCCCTTCCCCCGGGGAAAACCCCCCCCCTCCCCTACCCCCCCCCCCCCCTCGAACTCGAAAACCAGGGGGGGGTCACTACCGGTTCGAACCCCCCCCCCTCGAAAACCGGAGGGGGGGGGTTACCGGTTCGAACCCCTCCCCACCTCCCCTCTCACCTCCAGCAAACGACTCCCGGTCCCTACCACCGTCCTCACCACATCCCCCACTGTTGTTCCCAGCGCCACTGTCCTCACCACCACTGTCCCCACTGGTTCCACCACCGCCCCTACTGTCCCCACCAGTGCCACCACCACTGTCGCACTGTCCCCCACTGTCCCCACCACTGTTCCCACCACGGCTCCACTCCCCACCTTTCCCACGACTATCCCTACTGTCCCCACTGTCCCACTGACTCCTCCGCTGTCCCACTGACCTGTCCCACTGTTCCCACCACTGTCCCCACTGTCCCCACCACTGTCCCCACTGTACCTCTGTCCCATTTTCCCACCGCCGTCCTCGCCACCGCCTTCACCACTGTCCCCACCACCACTGTACCCTCCACTGTCCCACTGTTTCCACCACATTCCCACTGTCCCCACACCACTGTCCCCACCACCACCGTCCCCACCACTGTCCCACTGTCCCCACTAATCCCAGCATTGTCCTCACCATTGTCCCCACCACTACCGTCCCCACCAGTGTCCCACTGTCCCCACCACTGTCCCGTTGTCCCCTCACCACTATCACCACCACCACCGTCCCCACCACTGTCCGCACCACCCCTCGGTTTTCGAGGGGGGAAGGGGGGGGGGTTCGAACCGGTAGTGACCCCCCCCGGTTTTCGAATTCGAGGGGGGGGGGTTCGAACCGGTAGTGACCCCCCCCCTTTTCATAATGAACTGGGGGGGAGGGGTTCGAACCGGTAGTGACCCCCCCCGGTTTTCCAAAGGGGGGGGGGGGGAGGGGCTCGAACCGGTAGTGACCCCCCCCAGATTGCCGCCAGCAGCGGTAGAACACGCTCTTTCCGAGATGAGGTGACGGGGCAGCACCAGACTCAGTAGCAGGAGGCATGTGGGGGGAGGAAGAAATAAGGGTGGGATCAAAAGACGAGCTGAAGAATATGGAGACGAGGAGTTGCAGGAAAGAGGGAAGAGGACGAGACAAGCCAGGGATGGGGGATGGGTGCGCGAGCGGTCAGAGCGTCAAAGATGGCTCCAAGAGAACTTGAGTTAACACCAGATGGTGTCCAAGATGACACAACACAATATGATATGGATTAAGAAGATTTAGAATATACTTCCAAACGGCCAAAATACAACCGAAAGATGCCTCCAAATCGCCACAGAGCTGCCGAAGGAATCCCTCGAGAAGTCACAACCATTCAAATCCGAAGATGTTTCAACGTGTCCCGTCGTCTGGTGGTTTCGCTTCAACTGGGCCACTGATGCCACAAGGTGGCCCCAAACTAACCCAACAGAAACCCCCAAAAAACAAAGACGAGGACCAATACGGCCTCAAAAGGAAAGGTCCCCGCGAGAGATCATGCATCCATCCTTGAAATCAAACGCATTTTTCCCATGACGTAGCGGCGACGCTGGACACCAAGATTCAATGTTCACGCCGAAACTGGTGGCTGCAACATTTTGTTGGACCCCGCGGGCCGCATTCCGCGCGTCCATCAGCATTTCGATTCGAGGGCGACAGGGTGGGATACAAACTTGCGTTTATCTTCGAGGATGGCTGTAGGAACAGCTGCTCGTGCTCGACAGAAACGGTGTTGATCATGCGACACCATTTTTATCAATGGCTTGCAGGATAGCCCGGAAGGATCGAATGGGCCCCAGGAGTGCTCCAAGGAAGCCCCCAGGTATCCCAAGAGGCTTCAAGAGGTGTGTGTGTGTGTGTGTGTGCTCTTCCATTGCTGACAGCCACTATGTTTCACTATATGCTGATCCAGTTACCTTCTCCCGGAAGCGTGCCTGGGCATCGTTTCTGGATGGGCAGGTGGGGATACTTTTCCGTCGCGGCCGCAGGCGAAGGCGCCAGCAGCGTCAGCAGAGTTGGCTCGGGCTACGAGTAACCTAATTGCTGGCGCGCGCCGAGCAGGGCAAGACCTACCGCCGGGGGAAGCGGCCGCGCTGGGGCTGAGCTGCGCCGAGGATGAGGACTCCCTGCTGCGGAGGCTGCCAGGATGCTGCAACGTGCGAGTACCATGGGAGCTGAACCACCAGGCACGCGAATTAGACCTTATCGCCACCGGGCGCCAGAGGACAGGGCAGCAGACCGACAGGTGACACGCCTGGCCGCTCAAGAAGGCAGGTGGGGATACACGAAGCCTCAATGGGCTGGCTTAAAATTATCGAGTCGCACAATGCTCTGCTCATCGCCGACCAGACCGCACTCATGAAACGTATCAGCGACTGCATGTGCACCCACTGCTCCTGGTCCGTCCTCATTCGTTCACTCCTTCCATTGGCCCCTCTCGATTACTTCAGCAGGCCCCAAGAGATCTCCACAAGGCCCCAACGCTGTTGTACCCAAAGAGTCCCCAAACAAGCACCCTAGAAGCACCCTAGAAGCACCCTAAGATGCCTTCCAACAGTAGGACGAATGATGGATGCGGAGGGGGAGGATGAGGGACATGGAGGGACGAACGGGAGGAGGCCGAGGCATTAGATAGAGAGGGTGCATGGACATCCCGCGCCAGATCAGGTGGACGTAGACCGAGCCAGATCTCAAACTCAGCCTCATCCCTGCTGCACTGTTGCGCCGGCACGGCGGCGGGGCTTACCACATGTGGCTGGATACTCGTCCTGGCATGGACGCTAATCAGTTCGCCGTTGGGCACTTGCCACTCGGGCCGACGGACCCGAAGAAGAGCCCCCGAAGTCAAGCTCATAGGGCCGGACCCCCCTCCAAGCGTATCACCATGCGAGTTCCTAAGCTCGGGCCCCTCCCCAGACAACGCCATCTTCTGGTCCTGACATCTTCCCGTCGCTCGGACGTCCACTTCCCGTGCATGCTTCGGCTTCGTGCGTGTTTTTTTTTTGCCCGATGGTCCAGGATGGTCCTCGATGGTTCTCGCCGAGAAAAAATTCGGGGATGGACAGAACCCCCTTTAGTAAAACGTGGTTTAGTGAAAACGACCTGAGGCCCAAACTTAGCGGGCGCAAGCCTGGAAAATAACGGCCGCGGCGCCCTCTCGAGAACCGAAAACGGACAATTCACTAATCGACGTGTCACTGTTGGGGGTTCTGTCCAGCCCCGAAAAATGCACACGTCCGAGCGATGACAAGGACGTGCAAACCCTTGATGCACATCCGCACACCACTGCAAAGCGGAGCGGTGCGGACGGACTCGCGACTCGCCCGCCCTCCGGACCCTCGAGGGTCTCCATGACCTCGTCGCCGTCGAGCCGGCGGACCGTCTGGCCATCCTCGGACGCGCGACAAGCAGCAAGGCCAGGGCTGATGGCGGCTGGCACAGGGATCAGCAGGAGGTAACAGGAGGGAGAGTTCGAGCGATATCTGTGTGTATAGATGTGCACAATTTGTATATACGCACAAGTACAGGCAGAAAGACGATCACTAGAGACAGAGAGAGAGGACAGAGAGAGAGGAGACAAAGAGAGAGAGAGAGAGAGGAGAGAGGGGAGAGAAAGAAGAATGAGAGAGAGAGGCAATGAGAAACCATACGAACCAGAAGAACAACAGAAAGTGCCACCAAAGCGTGCTACAACCCACAACAAGAAATCCTGAGTGTCTGTCCACTGCTAGACCGCTAGGCAAGCGCGCTCCACTACTCGTAAAATCACTACTCGCAAATGGCCTGGATCAGCCGCGGAGGATTTACGATAAATTACATCGACGCGGACGTGTGCTTTTTCGGACGTTTGCGAGTAGGCACTTTGCGAGTAAGGGAACGCGCCCGGTGATCCGCACTCGCGAAGCGGCCCGCGGGGTCCCTAGAGAACCACGGAAAGGTCCCGTCAGGGACGCCGGAACTCCCAGGCTCGGTCTTCCGGACCACCCACTGCTGCCCCATTAGAGCCCCGAGGGAGCTCCTCCTCCTCCTCCTCCTCCTTCTATCCCTCCTCCTCCTCGTCCTCCTCCTCGTCCTCCTCCCTCCTCCCTCCTCCCTCCTCCTCCTCCTCCTCCTCCTCCTCCTCCTCCTCCTCCTCCTCCTCCTCTTCCTCCTCCCCCTCCCCCTACGAGGGGCCCCACTGGAATCGCTTCTGCAACCGTCGGGAAAACGATCCATATGGGATGCGCAAATTGAGCAGGGACCGACCGTCCCGGCATTCCTAGTCCCCAAAAATGTAATGTTCTTAGAACATAAGCCTCATGCGTTCAAACAAGACAGTCCCGACCAGAAATGTTCTAAGAACATTTCGTGAAAACCACAAAAGGTTCTTAGAACATTGGTTGGCATGGCCATATGCGAGCCAGGACGCTTCCCCACTGCTTGAACAAAGGCATACTAAGGCTATATGTTCTCCTTGGAGGCGCGCGCCCGACCCGAACAGATAATAGTGTACCCATCTTGCAATACATCGTTTCCCGAGCGGTGTGGCCAGAAAGCGCCCGCCACGACGCATGTACTGTAAAATGTCTCGGTGCGCGCGTCGCCCCTGGGGGGGGGGGGCGAAGCCTTTGTGGGCCCCGGAAACGGCAGGGCCGTTTTTTCACCGTTTCCCAAATCATGTCCCCGGAAAATGGAAACGGCAAGAAAACGGCGACCTGAAACAGCAAAAAAACGGCTCCAGGATTGGAACCGGAGCCGGAACCGGTCAAAAAACGGCGACGGAACCGGTGAAAAAACGGCGTCGGAACCGGCAAAAAAACGGCAAAGCGGAACCGGTAAAAAAACTGCCCTGTCGTTTCCAGGGCCCACTAGGGGCGACGCACATATAGTACAAGTATGTTGGGGTGACGCCGAGGAAAGGCAATCAATAGCTTGCAGGCGGCCTCCCAGCTTTACGCCTCCGCGATCTCCCCGCTCTGCACTCCCCACTCTCCCTGCATCCCTGGCTTCCAACGAGTGTGCCCTCTCTGCATTGCTCAGGCCCTATACACAGTCCACACTCTGGATCCTCTCTCTATATATATATGTATATATAGATATCGATTGCCCAGGCGCTCTGCACATTCTTCACTGGGGTTACGACAACTTGGCGGCTGCGCAAATGGCCCGAAAGGAAACGCTTGCAGAGAAAGTGTCCCACGTGCATCAGGACAAGCGGAGCTACAGATTGCTCGGGTGTAGCCCGTGGTTCAGACGCCAACCCAACGACGAGTCGGTCGGCCTCATCTCAGTTGGCAAGACTATCTGGGCGGGCAGGTGCTGTAGGTGTTGTTCCCGTCAATTTCGTCTGACCAGTTGCCACATGAGTCTTTTGTTCGCACGTGCAGTTTTCCAAGCTTGCTGTACGCTTGAGCCCCGCCTGCCACTCAGGGGGCCGTTCCGCCAGAGCTGGCACGCAAGCCGAAACTGAAACCAAAACTGAACCTGAAACTCTGCATGTTCTGGGGCAACACTCCGAGAACTAAAGGGCTTCAGATTATTAGAAGCCGGCAGGCAGGGGTAGCCCCAGATCTCGTTCCTGCTCAGGGCAGAACTCCCCGCTGCAGGTGTCTGCCCTGAAGCTTTCCAGAAGCTCCTTCCCATAGCTTCCAGAGCTCCCTCGAAGGACCTTACAGAAACTTCTGTCGCCTTGCTATCCTAAATCATCCCTCTCCACTCGGTTTGCACAACTGTGAATCTAGAATCCAAACCGACCGCCGCAATCAACGGAAACTTGCGCCATCACCCAGAACCGTGCACTCGGGAATCCGCTAACCCAGCCGATTACCGAACTCAGCGGCGCACTCTCGCCAACTCCTTTCAGACTCCGCGAAGACTGCTGTGTAAGCAGTGGTCGAGAGAAAACGTTGATCGTGCTGCGGGTCAACGATAAGAAGAGCAGCGCGACATTCGCCTGTTGTCGTGAAAACAGCGTCACCATCTGGGGTAGGGCCCCCTTTCACCTCCGCAACCTCTTCCGCCATCTCCTCGGCCACCTTGCTTTTGCCCGCACACTGCTCTACATCATCCTTGCTTTCGTCCTCAACCACCACCTCCTCAAGCATTGGCCGGGCATTCGACATCAATGTCCATCTTAGTTTGCTCTCAGGCCCTCGTCTCACCCACGTGCTCGTGGACACACTGTACATCCGACTGGGTCACGCCCCAGTGGCCGCGGAGTCGGGTCCTTTATGCCGACGTCTGTGGTCATGGCCGTATCTCTAACCACGTGGTAGTAAACGTTGGTTAGCCTCAGAGGGACGCGAAGGAAGCGTTCAGGGAAATGACATCTAATGTCCTCAACCAGCATGAACTTCGCTTCGAGTCTTTACAATGTACAAGAAACGCTGGAACTACCCAGGAGCAGCTTGGCCGATACCCTCAGAGCGTGACACCTCATACATAGAGAGCAACAGGGCGTGTCGTCTCATATTCAGCCTCTGCTCGCACACCTAAGGCGCAGAGGAGCGGGCATCATACAAGCATGCTTAAGGGGCAGTGGTGGAGGAGAAGACAGAGGAAGAAGATGGGAAATGGAATGGGGAGGCTGATGAAGAGGGGGTATATAGCATTATGGGAACGAACAATGACAGAAACATAAACACTCGGAGGTCCACGCGGATTTCTCGGATCGGCGCTGGGGCCCCTTGGCGGCGCCTCCGGCACCGTCCCTGGCGCGCTCCGCGCGCCAGGGAGGGGGGGACCAGCGCGGATCCAAGAAATCCGCGCGGACCCCCGAGTTCTTAGGCTTCTGTCATTCTTGGGCCCCCTTTCAGAAGAGGGGAGGGAGACGAGGAGGAAGCGAAGGCAACACGGGCGGAGTATAGCTCGAGGAGGGGGGACGGGGGAGGGGCCTCGGGGAGGAGGAGGAGGGGGCCGAGGAGGAAGCAGAACGGAACGCAAACGGCCGCCACGGCTCGGCAATCCGAACGGGAAAGCGCATGAACAGTGACGTTTGGCGCTCCGCGGATTTCTTGGACTCGCGCTGGGCCCCCCTCCACCTCGAGCTACACTCCGCCTGTGTTTCTTCGCTTCCTCCTCGTCTCCCTCCCCTTTCTTATTTAAGGGGACCCAAGAATGACACAAACACAAGAACTCGGAGGTCCACGCGGATTTCTTGGATCCGCGCTGGACCCCCCCCCCTGGCGCGCGGAGCGCGCCAGGTGCGGCGGCGGAGGCGCCGCCAGGGGGCCCAGGCGCGGATCCAAGAAATCCGCGCGGAGCGCCAAATATTCATGTTTAGGTCGTGTTTTCTTCTTCTTCGGAATCAGGAGGATCAGCAGCAGGAGGGGGAGGAGAATGGAGAGAGGCAGGAGGTGCGAGGACAATGAGAAGGGAGCGGAGGGGGATGATCACTGGGAAAGATCAAGTGGGGGGAGCAGGAGGAGGACGAGGACGACGGGGGGGGGCACATTAGGAGACGGCGGATGCGGCAGCATGGTGCAGATCAAATAGGGAGAGGAGGAGAGGAAGAGGAGGAGGAGGAGGAGGAGGAGGAGGAGGAGGAGGAGGAGGGTGGGAGGGGGCACGAGGGAGAGATGGGATATGAGGATGGCGACGGCAGCGGCGACCTCGACGTTAGTCGCCATCGGTTCGGCTTTCGCACAGGCTGTGCGTTGTGCTTTCCCTGATCCTCTCCCAACCACGAATTCCTCAATATTGGCATCCGCCAACACGCGCTTGTCGGGGGTGTGAAGGCGAATCATATGTTTGGCTGGTTCCCTTGCCCCCTCGGGGAACCACAGTAGGAATAGGGGGCCTCCCTTGCAGAGGTACCCGACGAAACCACCCGTGCAACCAGGGCTATGCCTGAAAACCATGGGCCTGCGTTGGGCCACGACTTCATGGTGCTGTTAGGGTTGGGGGGTTGTTGTCCTTCGTGGTCCCCTGGTGGCGACGGGGCGCTGCGGCAGAGCCCTCGCCCCACGGCCCCTCCCCGCCCCTGCCCCCCCCCCCCTCGGCGGTCGCCTGAGGAGGAGGAGGGCCGCAGCAGCCCAGGCGCTGGCCAGAACCAGGGGCGCCAGCGACTCCGCCCGAAAGCGGGGCACGGACAGCCAACAGCACGCCGCGTGCCCAACAGCCTGCCGTGCCATCCCGAGCCGCCGGCGGCCGCTGCTGGGCAGGTGAGGTCCGGCCTCGCGTGGGCAGCCTGCGCGGCGACACCGACAGCGAGTCCTGTTCAGAGTGGGCCTGGGCTGCTGTCGGTCTTGGTCTCCGCTGCTCTTCGGGGAGGCGTAAGACTGGCTCTGGCGACTCGGGTTGGCCTGACGGGGCCATCCTGAAAATCACGAGACCCAATCTGACATTCGACGCGAGCTCCCGCTGCAAACGTCCCATGGAAACTGGACCGTCAAAAGCCAGGACGCGCTCGTCAAAAAAAGCATCGTCACACCCGAATTCCTGCGTACTCGAGTCTCACCCTCCCCCGATCCTTCCGTACAGTTGGGGCGTTGACCTAAGGAACCCTAAATAAGGAACGAGGCCCTTCCTTTCCCATAAGTTACACTTCGATTCCCCATCGAAAACCTTGGGAAAACCGGAGGCAAGCTGTGAAACAATCAAGGAACACGGAGCCCCTCCCCAACGAAAAGGGTTCCTGCTTCAAGACCCCTACTGTACCCATCTCGATCGTACCGGATCGTGGCCAGAGGCACGTGCGCGTGCGACAGATCGGGTCGGAGGAAGCGGGGGCTGGTCTGCGCGTGCAGCGGAGGCTCGCGAGTCGGCTCCCGCGGCTGCTCTGCCGGGCGCCTCGCGGCGCCAGCGCGTCGAGGAGAGGCGCCGCCCGGCGGCGGGGACGAGACCAGCGGCACGCGACACATTTCGCAACCGCCCCTTCCCTCTCCTGCACCCCCCTCTCGCCCAACACTCGGGGATGGACAGACCCCCCTTTAGTAAAACGTGGTTTAGTGAAAACGACCTGAGGCCCAGACCTGGCGGGCGCAAGCCTGGAACATAACGGCCACGGCGCCCTCTCGAGAACCGAAAACGGACAATTCACTAATCGACGTGTCACTGTTGGGGGTTCTGTCCACCCCCGAAACACGAGGAGAAGAGGGGTTGGCATGGGCCCGATGGCGACAGAAGCAGGGGAGGGGCCGAGGGATCTGCTCTAGACTTCAGGGCCCCGGCTCTGAGGTACCGCCGCCCCCCCCCTGGCTCTCGCCAGCCAACCTCGAGATCCTCAGTCCCGAGAGTGTCAAGCCCAGGGAGATACGACAAGTAAGGGGGACGTTTCCTCAGGAACTGAGGGAATCCTTGAGATCGGCCTCGAGACACCGCGATACCAATCTTAGAAACAAGGGTGTGGGCTCAAGCTGGCACGGTGAATGCGCCCGGCATCGGCGCGCGCAGAAGCTTCTGACCCCGCGTCGATCGTCCAGCTTTGAACCAATCGCAGCGCCGACCGTTCAAGGTTAAGATCAGACGGATCAAAGGAGTCACCGTGTCCCTCGCTGTTTCCACGTCGTTCTGTCATGCAGAGTTCAGCCTTGGACGCCTTCGCCGGCGTCGCCGGAGCGCCATCACCGCCTCAACCTACCATGAAGTGAGGCCAATCTCGGGGACAGGGATGTGCTTCAAGCTGGCAGCTCACCCTCCCCCATTCTCGGGGAGACGCCAGACTCGGGTTCGGGGGACACGGGCTGACCTGTCGGGGCCGTCGAGACAGCGACGAGGCCCTAATCTGGAACTTGACGCAAGCTCCCGCTGCAAACGCCCCACGAGCACCACACCGTCAGACTCCAGGATGGGCTCCTCGAAAAAAAGCGTCGGCGAGCCCGAGCTGCGGCGCACTCGAGTCTTAGACGCTCCCCCGACCTTCGGCCCTCTCCACGTCCTCGGCCAGGGCGGCCGGGCCGGGGGCTCCGCCGCGGCCCGAAGGAGGTGCCGCAGCCGTCTGCTCGGCGCGAATTGTTGGCATGCGAGGGCGATACATGTGGGGGAGGGGCGAGAAAAGGCACCCTTCTCTGGGCATCGCTTCACCGGTCCCCTTCCCCAGCGGCGTGGCCTGGGCCCCACTTGCCGATGTACCCCCCTGGATGGGGACATGGGTCGTTCCCTTCGGGCTTCGAGGGGCGTATCCCCAACTGGGGCGGAACTAAGTTTGGTGGGGGCCTCGAAGGGGATGGGGATGGAGGTGGGGATCGGTGAAGCGATCCCGATTCTCGGGCCCCGCAGGCCCGCCGCTGGGCCCTGAGAGGGCCCCTTGGCCTTGAGGAGCCCCTTTAAGAGGGCTCCCTCTTCGGCACCCTGTAGCGAAAACGGCCTGGGACCGAAACCGACGGACCTGGACCCGCAAAACATGACGGCCGCGACGCCCTCTCGCGAACCGAAAACGGCCAATGCGCTACTCGACGTGTCAGGGCAGGTCTACCAACCTCCGATCAATGGGAGGGCGATGCGTGGGGGGGGGGCGAGAATTGAGCAGGGACCTACCGTCCCGGCGTTCGTATAGTCCTACCATGAAATGTTCTTAGAACCCAAAAATGTTCTAAGAATAAAGACAACGTTCGTAGAACATTAACCCGATGTGTTAAACCAAGACAGTCCCAACCAAACATGTTCTAATAACATTTCAGGGAAACCACAAAAGGTTCTTAGAACATTGTTTGGTAGGGCTACAGGCTAGCCAGGACGCTTCGCCACTGCTTGGGAGAAAAGGTGCCCTTCCCGGGCCCCGAAGGCCCGCCGCTGGGCCCTGCAGCGGGCCCCCTTGAGGAGCCCCCTTTGAGCGGGCCCCTTTCTCGGCAGCGCCCATCTCATGGGGCCCAAGGACAGACACATAAATACACACCAATAGCAGGATTCCCCACATTTCCCCATATTTTTTGGGATGTTCGTCTTCCCCTCTACTTCCCATATTTTCCCATGTTTTTTCTGTTCTGGGGAATCGACGATCACTTGTGTCTGTGTGTATCTTCTCCTCCTGACCCTCGCGGAGCGCCCCACGGGTGGGCACCATCCGCCGCCCCTGGCGCCTATA